CACACTGTATCCATAGTCAAGAAGCAGATGGTGATAAATAGTGGTCATTATTACATAATTTAGTACCAAATCCATGGAATGGAATGGTGCTATCATTTCTAGAAGGCAGAAGAGTCTTCTCATCTCAATGAACTTAATATACAAGATAATCTCTCATAAGCACAGTTCAGAGAATAACATCATCTAGATAAGCCCTCAGAGGTGTGACTGGAAGAGTGTCCCTTGACTGATTCTAGATCAAGTTGAAAATCAATATTAGCCATCACACAAAATTAATAAAATTTGCTGTGTAGACTGCCTGTGTAGACAGTGACACTATTCCTTTTTTTAATGATATCTCAAATACCAATGAGCCATGTTTGAAGACAAAGTACATAAAACATAGGAGTATGGACTTGCTCCTTTCCCAGATGTAAGCAGCAATTTGCTGAGAATCTCCAGGACAGGATTATGAACTCCATGTAGAGCAAGGCACAGTGCAGAACCCTTCTGACCATGTTTTTACTTCATTAAATCAGAATCCTACCCAAGCCACCTCAGGAACTGACTGATGATCTTTTTTACCAAAGAGAAGGAAAGGGGAAGACAGAGAGACAGAAAGGCAGAGAGAAGGAGAGAGAGACAGAGACAGAGACAGAGACAGAGAGACAGAGAGAGAGATTCCCTAAGGACCCATTGAAATGGAATTTACAAAGTCAACAAACTGTAAACATGGCTTTGTGTCAATTCTTAAGTGTGGCTCTCCCTCACAAGACTACACTATCCAAAAGATCACTCCAAAAACTCTTCTTAGTAGACATCAGGACTAAGAAAGTGGGTTAACAGATACAGTACTCATCTTGCAACTACCCCTTTACTTCTGCATTATAAAGCCAGTTGCAACAGTGCATGCCTATAGTCCAATGGTTTAAGGCAAGATGAAAGGCAGACAGCTGCCTATGACTCTATGTGTATAGAAATTAAATAAACACAGATTTCACGACTTTCAACTCAAAGTGACCCTTAAACTGTTGTTTCTGACGTTCTAGCTACTGATATTTCTCTAAGAGAGGCCCCATGTTCTAGAGCTCTCTCTGCAAAGGGAGGTGATCTCCTGCAGACCCTGCTATAGCTCTGCAGCCTTCATGCTCCCTTGTGTTTTCAGGCAAACCCAGCCCCAGTGATGCCCACACAGAAAACACTGTAGAAGAATAATTTAATGTCTGATTCCAACCACATAGATTATGTCACAAGATGTGGCATCTGCCCTATCCACCTGCCCAAAACCATGCAACCTGAGATACTTCTGCAGCTCAGAACGCCCTTTTGTCCCCTGGAACTGACCTTCACTGAATCACATCACAGTGGCCGGCAGTAGCAGAAAGCTAAAAGCATTCTAATCATGTATTGCTGAAGGATGATCCCCATCACCCCCTTTCTACCATTTTCTAAACTGTCTGTAACATTTATAAGACAAACCTGAAAGGGAAAAGTAACATCCAGAACTTGCAGAAACCAGACCTTCAGTTTTCCAATCTGTCTTCCCAGACTCCCACTGTCACAGAAGCAAAGCCTGTGTGTGCACACTGGACAGTTATATTACAAGCACCATAGCCTCCCATGCCAGGGTGGCAGAGCTTTCTCATCCCCAGGGAATCCATACTCAGTAAGGATCAGAGGCCAAGGGCCACTGCCCAGGTTACTACAGGGACCAACAGAAACACAGTCTGGCTCATGGTCTATCCCAGTCCCAGCAGTTCAGACGCTGACAGCTCAGCCAACCTGCTCTTCCTGGACAGCGGACCCCACACTAACCATGGCATAGCTATGGTATTCCTTAGAGCTCCCTATAGCAGAAGCAGAGGAGAATCCCAAAGAGAACTTGGAAGTTACCTCCCACTGGTGCTACTGATGGCTAAGTCTTCCCAAAGCTCTGCATTAGTTAGGACCACCCAGTTGGACCTCAGGACATTAGCACTTACCCTACTGGGTGAGCAGAGAGCCAATGACTCAAACAGCACAAGCCTTCCCAGCTCTGCCCTTCCACACTAGGGTTGCACAGGTATCTAGTCTGAGAAACTTGTAGTTTAGAGAATATTCCATTCTCTAGAGCACTTCCTATTCCTCTTTCAAGGCACTGGGTCCTTTGCATGCACATTCCATTACACACTCAATGCCCAGTGAAGCCAACCCTTTGCTTCAGAGCTGGGAGGTCCTGAAGCCAAACAAAGGTCACATTCAAACAGTAACTGTTGTGGAAGCTGAAACAGGTCATGGATTAGAACACAATGAAGGATCTATGGGAGGGCTTGGAGCCAGGAAAGAGATAGTGGAAATTAGGTAATTATAATTCCAATAATTATATTGGGAAGTTGAAACAGGCTTTCTGGCCATGTGCTCCAGAGACTAGGGATGTGTACTAGAGCACACTAAGTACTACTCATGCAATTCTCCCAGGCTGTACATCTTAAACCTGGAAAAGAGTCACATTAGGCAGGGCCACACCATTTTATCCAGTTCTTCTATTTAGGTTGAACTGGTGTAACTAATGTAATTTTGTTTCACAAAAATTCAGTTCTTTATCCAGATTCTTGATTGTCTGGTCTGTGGAACAGAGAAATGACCAGTCAGGACATTTGTGGAATGTCTAAAATCAATGACCTCACTACTCATTGCTGCTGTCTGTCAACTGTCACAGGGGAAAGCTTTCAACCTCTTCTTGCCATCCCTTTCCGTGCTGTGACTACACCTGCTTTACAGTGGGTCAGTGAACTCAACTCTTACACAGGTCCCACTTCATCTGTAATTTCACAGTGAAATCTAGAGAGGTTGAGGGTACTCATTCACTGGTCTATTTTCCATCTCACTGACCAGTCAAGGCCCAGCCTGGAAGGATTTGCAGGACTGTATTCCAGTGCTGAGCAGCAGAGGCAGGATGTGGAGTTCAAAGCAATTCTCATTTATATAGTGTGAGGCAAGCCTGAGCTACAGGGGACATTGGTCTAAACCAGTGGATCTCAACCTTCCTAATGCTGTCATACTTTAATACAGGCTCTTATGAGGTGGTGACCCCAACTATAAAATTATTTTCACTGCTACTTCATAACTAAAACTTGGCTACTGTTATGAATTGTAATAAAAATATATGTGTATTCCAATGGTTTAGTCCACTCCTGTTAAAGGGAGCCTCTACCCATCATGTTAAGAACCATTGCTCTATAAAGGCACATAAATAAATAAATAAATAGCACCTAAGAGAAATTGGAAAGAAATTCTTAATGGCTAGGAAACATTGGAAAACAAATTAGAGCTATAATACATTTAAAGAAAGTGAAATTTAAAAAATGATACCACTAATTGACTTTTTAAAATGATAGAAATAACTGGAAGAACACTTAGCAGTACTGACTTTGCAACAGAGTAGGCACTTCCCTGCTAGAGAGAATGCCATTCATAAGACACTGCATGACTTGCCCATGTAAAGTGTCAGCTGCTGGGTGCTAGAAGCTGACACATGGAGTTAAAGCCAATGGCCTGTGTATCAAACCTCTGAGCTGACTTAACTGTGTCAACCAGGATTGCACACATCTGCACAAGAGAGTTCCCTAACTGGAAACTGAAGACTCAGTACTTCAAGTTACCCTCGCTAAATTGTACACCCACCAATTCTGCCTATCTTCATTCACATGGAAGGAATAATACCAGGAGTTAAATTACACAGGAAGTCACTCCCCCTGCCCAGCAGGTCCTTTTTTATGATGGAGACCTCTGCAGCTCACTGCCTTAAACTCCAGCCCATGATCTAGCTATTGCCTAGCCTGTTTCCCCGTGCAGTGTACACAGGACACTGTTTCTCCTCTTCTGGTCTTAAGGGAGATGCCAAGATCCACACACAAATCCTTTCCCGTTACTGCAATGGACAGTCCACCATGTGACTCAAAGTGGTTACTTTAGAACTCTGTGGTGCTACAGATCTGCAATACAAGTATTCCTGGTGCTTAGTCAGGACAATAGCAAGGGAAATGCCCTGTGGGGATACAGACAGTATTCAAGTCCACCTCAATCTACATCAGAGACCTTGACTCAAAACCACTTTTCAAAGAGACTGGAGATGTAGCTGTTCTAGAGTTAAAATATTCTTGAAGGCACATCAGGACTTAATGTTGGTTGTGATCCTGTGAGCATCCTGTTAGAGGCCTGTTCTTTGACAGGGCGCAGGGAATGGGGGGACCCTTTTGGCTGGTTGTAAATTAGCGTTTTCTCCTTTGTTATGGGAATGTTGCTTAATGGCTGGTTAATTCTGGGGAACAAGCATTTACATCTTATACTAATCTCTCAAAGGCACGGTTAGCATACTACATATCTTAGGGATATCTGAGAGACAGCCCTCCCTTAGCTTAATTCTACTTTGTGACTTAATGTCTCCTAAAAATGGGTAAATCATTTTACCATCAATTCTATTACCATCAATTCTACTCTTCTACATCACAGTTTAGCAGTGGAGTCCTACTCTACACAGGAGATGGCCTTTACAAGCTTCACAAAATCAACTGCAGACAGATACTAAACCTAAATGTTAAATGTTGAAAGTGCAGAACTTCTGAAAGATACTAGAGAGCAGGGCTCTCCGTGTTTGGCAAATCTGCCTTCCAAGGTGACAATACAGGGACTACAGGAGCCAGCATTTCACAGTGACATCAACAACAAGGATATTTCTAAGTCTTGTTCCCAATGCTCTGCACAAACACAGCCCACGGAGTTAAGTTATTCAGAGGCTTCTGCGCCAGCCCTCGGGGTTGCAAGGACCATGTAGAACACACAGGATCAGGAAGAATCAGGCGCGACACGCAGGACCGAGAAGGAACACGTGGGACTCGCAGGACACACAGGACCAGGCAGGACCACACCAAACTCGGCGTCTGGCTGTTTGCTCCCACTCATACTCGGGAGGACCCAACACCCGGTTCCCACGGCTCAGCTGGCCACTCCTCCCAGTCTGCAGAAAGCATCCCCTCACTCACCATGGCCGGCCACTCCTCCCACTATGGGAACAGAAGCCCTTGATCACCGTGTCGCGGGTGCAGAGAGCTCTAGCCTCAGCAGAACCCAAGAAACAACACATGAGCCAACTTCCGATTTCCTCAGCAGAAGAGCTAAGCGGGAACCCTAGCGTCGGGAGGAAGAACCCTTCCCTCTGATTGGCAGATCTGCTCGAAGCCCTGATTGGCTAGTGAGGGCTGAGTGACAGGATCGGGTGAGCTGAGGGAGGCAGTTCCGTGGATTTCTGCCCTAGCGTCCACCTTTAGCACAAACCTATCCATAAATGCTGGAGATTTGCACCAAATTCCACAGCAAGTCTCTAGTTTATGTAAACCGATGGGTTCAGTTTTAAAAGGAAGTATACAATTTCAGAAGGAGGCTAATCTGACAATATTGCACAAGAGTAACACAAGGTATCTCTAGAACATTATAAACAAAGTCCACAGTGGCTGGGACGGATTACCACAGTCCCAGGTAGAGAAGGTCCGTATAAATAAATACCTACTTTGCAGCAACACAGCATGAGGCTGTGTCTCTGAGTCTTTCATCCTTTCACAGAACTGCTGTTTTTGTCTGACTATTCTCAAGTCTCACTAAATAATTTTAGGAGAGCCCGCTTGAGCCATAAATGGGAGTACAGAGGCAGGAAGACCACTGGCAGTTTGAGGAAAACTTGTGCTATATAGACACACACACACACACACACACGGGCACACACACACGGGCACACACACACGGGCACACACATGGACACACACACACACACACACATACACACAAGCACGAGTGAAAGAAGAACAAAATTAAATTACGAAGAGCACAGCAGATTCAGGACGATATCTCTGTAAGTCATTTCAGGTGTCACCACTAGACCTTGTCAAATTCTCAGAAATGAATGTAGCCAAGAACAGTAGGTAGCAGAGCCAGGCAGATTTCCTTGAATTTGAGACAAATTGGTCTACATAGTGAGTATGATAGTAAGACATGTCTTATAACACACACACACACACACACACACACACACACTCACAAATACAGTTGAACAGAATTTTGCTTTTTGTTTGTTACAGGATCTCATTAAAAAGTTCCAGCTGGCTTAGAACACTATCTACAAACAGCTTAATAAATAATCTACTGAATATTTTAAAACAAATTCCAGCAAACATTTCTATATCATTGGCTCATTATTCAAAGCATGGCAATTTTCTATATAATATGGAGTTCCAAGGAATTTCCTGTATATTTACTTATATTTCAAGAGAACTAGAAGTGGGAGAAATTTTACAGTTTACATTCCTAGGTTGTTTTCCTCCATCCAATTATTCTATAATATCAATATCAATTTTTCTTGAACTTTTTCTAATTTAGAAACATTTTAACTAGTTTGTAAATTGAGCTGTTCACACATTTTGTTTTATGCTAAGATTCCAACTGTGGAGGCTGAAAGAACGCCTGCTAGAGTAAATATTCCAGGTGCCAGTAACGTAATGAATTTTTAAGAAATTTTTTAAATAGTTACAAATTTTCCAAGTATTGTATTGGAATTTTTGTAATACCACTCTTTTTTTACATTGTTCTGCAATCAAAAACTAAAAGGAGGTTGTTGTTTATGTTTATATATATATATATGTTTATAATTATGGCATTATTTGTTGTGCTATCAACACATTGAGTTAAATAGCTGTTTTTTGTGTGTTACAAGAAATAAAGAATGACTATACTGGATTACTGAGTTTTCTATTAATAACACATGAAGAGCAACAACACAAGCTTATGTGTGATATGATTGTATCAAAAGTAAAATTATCTGAGATTTAAAAATATAAAAAAAATGTAGATGTTATGAATTTAAATTGTTATAACAATTAGAAGAAAAATGTTCATGAGTTGATGCTAAAATGGATTTATTTCAAGTCCTAAGTGCTAATATTAACATATGCAGTTGATGTAGTTTTGGATACTGAACACTGGGCTTTGTGTATTTTATGCAACTCCTATACTAACTGAAATACAGGACTCAATCCATAATTAGTTTGCAATGCTTGTGTCTTATTATGATCTTTATATTAGTTATTGTATTCAATGAAGAAAAAAATCAACCTATATATTAATTTTAAAGTAAATAATAATTTTAAAAATGCACCTGTCAAAGCTTTAAGTGGAGGAATAGGATATGTAGACGAGACTGCTGTAGTGTACCTGTGCCATGCTTACAAAGCTGAAATATAAAATAATTATGTGATCTTCCATACTTAAAAGAAACAAGTAAAATTAGCAGTGTTCTCATAATATTTTCTCCCTAAAGGGTAATAAATGAATCGTGTACTGCTTAGGGAGGGTTTCTACTGCTGTGAAGAGACACCATGACCATGGCAACTCTTATAAAGGAAAACATTTAATTTGAATGACTTACATTCTTAGAGATTTAGTCCATTATCATCATGGTGCAGGCAGACATGGTGCTGGAGAAGGAGCTGGGCATTGTACAACTTGACCCACAGGAAAAGGAAGTGGTCTGGGACACTGGGTTTGGCTTGAGCACATATGAGACCTCAAAACCCATGCCCACAGTGACAACCTTCCTCCAACAAGGCCATACCTACAGCAACAAAGACACACCTCCTAATAGTGCCACCTCTTTGAGCTTATGGGATCCAATTATATTCAGACCACCACAGGTACTAAGTATTAATGTTCACAAGGAAGTATGATATGTTCTCCTCTGTGAGGAAACAATGCACCCATACTATTGAGAAAGACTAAAAGTATGTTTGCTTCTATACCATAATTTATAAGACCATGAAATTTTCAGTGGGGTCACCCAAGGCCCCTTGATAAATTATATGAAATATTGGGCTTACATGTAACCCAATGTAGGAATAATGACAAGGTTGCTCCTTGTCCTCCAACTGGACACAGAGGAAATGAGGCACTTCTTTAACACCGGTTATGCTTTCTGAGATGCCTGTTTTAATACCTCTGCTTCCAATAACTTGTACAGGGTAAACTGTTATTTTTCCCATTTTTTCATTTGCCCAAGAAAAAGCCATACTGTTATTAATTCCAAGGCATCCTAGTGTTTTATTTGTTATTCATGGACAAATATATATGAATCATAAGCCTTATTGTAATGAGTATAGTAAAAACATATATGTCTTTTAGACATGGGAAAATAGTTTAGTCAGGAACCCCACTACACCCAAGGCTGACCCTGATAACCAGAATTCAATGACATCACTCACTCAAGATAACCAGACACAGTCCTAAAACCCCATCATGCCCACTGGACAGTATATCAGCAGAGATCAAGAGTAATGCTCTGCTCTCCACATCTGGAGATATGCCACCTTGATCTGCACTGTGGCTGGGGAGTCTCCCCCAGGATCCTGACCCTCTAATCAGAGATTTCTGTCAGAGACTGGACCTGACTTTCCAGCTAAGATACACTGCACACAGCCCTGGAGAAATAGTCTTAGGACCATAGTTAGGAATTCACAGAACCTTGTGTGATGGCCATCAGCATAATAAAGTATAACATTTGTTATACTAACTATGCACATCCTCCTTCTTGTTCATGATGTTTCTCTTTTCCCCACTTCCTCTCCAGCATTGTTTGTCTGTTGATTAGTGGGTCTTTGCCATTCTGACTGCAATTACCACAATTCTTACCTGTTCCTATTTCTATTAGAAACAGGAACAATTTATAATATCAACAACCTTCATAATTCTGATAATGACCAACATAAATAGTTTTTAAAATACAAAACAGCAAATGCCTCAAAACAACAGTTATGAGTTTGTCTGTCTCATAAAATTTCCACTTTTACCAAGGAGCTCACCTATGAGGATTAGCCAGGCTGCCCCAGGAACACTCAACACTTTAGCAACTTCTTATATTTTTGGTCATGAGCCTAGCCTTTAATGATAGAGCCATCTCTCAGGCCTGACTCTAACAATTTCTAAAGGCTCACAAGGCAGTAGAAGCCCCATGGAAAGCTTTGTAAAGTAGGTGGGCACTAGAAGGTATCTGGAAGGCACTTGGGCTCAAAGAAGGTTCTAAAGAGTAGCTTACAGCCTAAGCAATCAGAAGGCAACCTTGTGGTGAGAAGGTCCTTAAAAAAGTGTAGAGAGATACTTGCTTCACTTTCCCTGCACCAAGCAGTGTATTTACCTGTATGGCCAAGGTGAGCTGTTCCTGGGCTGTTCCCAGCATCCCACCACTCCTGACTGCTACAGTGGAAGCAGTATGACCTCCACATCTCTGTGTTTCATCATAGACTTGTGACTCCTTGCTCAGCAAGACTCGGGTCCTGGAAATCTCCAGGGACTAGTTCCAGGAATGCAAGGGATCAGGCAGGGTTATGTTCCTGGAATATCTCCTTCAGCTCCACTGACATTCTTCACATATAGGCAAGACAAGAGCTGGGTTGGTGAGCAGGGCCTATGAGCTTGTGCAGCCCCTGCCTTCCTGCCTTGCTGAGCCAAGCCTGCCAATAACCTACTAAATGCACCCTCTCCCTGAGGCAAACCCAGCAAAAACTCCTCCACTCATCTCCTGAAGCACAGTAACCTTCAGGTACATCCCCAGGTAAGTCTCTCATAGAAACATCCACACAACATGCTCACAGAAATACCACCCCCTCCCAGGAAAGGCCCTTCCAGACATTCTTTTATCCTGAATTAGAGGACCTGAGAATCCTGTAGTGACCTCGGCTCTTAGAATATATGCAGAATGGGGAGAGCTTGTCTGCTAAACTGGAGAGCTGCACTAAGATCAAAGTCAGTGGAGACAGCAGGGCAGCCATCAGCTGCAACCACAGCACCCTGGAAGAGGAGACCTGGTCTTATACTGTACTCAGAAGGCCCTGGTGGGTAGAGCCAAGGTGCCCAGTGGTGTGGGTGAGAGACAGAGACGCCATGCAGACAGAGCTCACTGAAGAGTTTTATTTAGTGGTGGTGGGGGGGAGTGGGTGCAGAAAGAAGAAAAGAGAAGAGGGGGTGGGGGAGGGGTGCACACACCTTGTGGGAGGAAACAGGAAGAGAGGGAGAAAAGGGTGTAGTTTTCCCTTAAGAAGAAGCTTCTATGTCAGGATACAAAGTGGAGCCAAGGGGTTGGTCAGAATATTAACATTTCTCCCTT